CTCACCGCCAGAGGAGACGCCGAGCCCGCCGCGGCCACAGGACGAACCACCCCGCTCAGCGCCGGCCCGTCGTCCCGTTTCAAACCGGCCGCCTACCCCAGCAGCCCCGCCCCTTCCGCCCACTTCCGGTAACGGTCGCGCCGAAAGCCCGTGAGGTTCAAAAGACTCCAGCTGCGCGGGGCGCGGTCTCCAGGCGGAACCTTTTCGCGGAGCCCGTGTCCGCCGTCCTAGACTCCGCCGGAAGTGGGCGCAGCGCCCGGGCGCATCCGGGGGGCGCTGCGGCACCCGGCGGGGTTGGAGGTGCAAACCCCTCGCGCTCCAGCCCGCGGGCCTCGGCTCGGCCGGGGTTACTTACGAGTTAATGGGTGGACAGGCGCAGTGCTTCTGAGTGTTTAATTAGCATTTTAGTGCATAAGACGTTTATATACAGTATTTTATGTAAAAGATTGGAGCTGCAGATCTCAGAAAATGCCCGTTTATTTTTTTAAGATTTACCTTTGTTGTTGAAAGTATTCCTCTTTTCCCCATTGACCTGCACCCGGCGCCCGGACCCCAGGCCCTTGTCAGCGCCCCGGCTCTGCGCAGACGCCCCCCCNCGCCCCCCCCCCAGGTTCCGCAGTCGGCCCCCCAGGTTCCGCAGTCGGCCCCCCAGGCTCCGCAGTCGGCCCCCCAGGCTCCGCAGTCGGCCGGCGCGTTAGATTCCGCGGGTAAGCGAGAGCCTGTGCCATTTGCCTGTCTCTGCCTGGCTTCGTTCCCTTCGCATAATATTCTCCAGGCCTAAGAGGGCCTTTTTTTTAACCCTCACCTGAGGATGTCTTCCCCCATTGCTTTTCAGAGGGCATGGGATGGATGGAGAGACACGCTGATTGGTTGCCTCCTGCGTGAGACCGGACCTGGGCCAGGGAGCAAGCCTGCAACCAAGCGCTGGAATCGGACCCAGGACCGTTCAGTCCACAGGCTGATGCTCTAACCACGGAGCCAAACCAGCGAGGGTGAGACCCTTGTTCACAGCTGCGTAGTGTCCGTGGTGTGCATGTCCCGCAGCTGTTTTATCCGCTCACCCACGATGGGCACGGGCTGTTTCCTTGTCTTAGCTATTGCAAATTGCGCTGCTGTGAACATCGGGCGCATATATTCTTTCCGATTAGTGTTTCAAGTTCCTTAGGATATATTCCTAGGAGTGGGATCACTGGATCAAAAGGCAGCTCCATTTTTACTTTTTTGAGGAACCTCCATAGTGTTTTCCACAGTGGCTGCACCGTGTGCATTCCCACCAGCGAGCACCAGGGTCCCCTTCTCCACTCCCTCGCCGGCAGGCCTCATTTGTTGATTTGTTGATGGAGCCACTGGGACGGGTGCCTCAGTATTTAAAGCAGCAAGTCCTGGGAACATTTCCTATACACAGCGTAGTCACTGGGTGGCACTGTTGCATAATGTGAACCTGACACCCTGGCGGTTTTATTTCATTTTCTTTTACACAAGTAAACCGAATTAGGCTGATAGACACCAAACACAGTGTTCTAGGTGGGACAATTAGATCCTATATTTATTGGCTTTAAAATGCATGGTTAGAGTTTGGGCTTAGGAAGGAAGACGGCATTGGACCCTATTACCTGTTAACATCCCCACCTGTTCAGCTGCCCCATCCACGGCCTGCTCATCCTCACTCCTGGGTCTGGGAACAGCTCCGATTCACAAGACTTCAAACAGCGTCTTTGTTAAAGACTCAGATGGAATTTTTACTTAGAAACCATATAATGTAGTCCTTTGCTAAACTAATTTGTGACGAGCTGTAAAAGAGTTCCCAGGAAGCAAAAATTGGTTGTTAAACTCTAACCCCACTGGTATCCTCTCCCCTAACTTCCACAGCAAGTTATGTGATTTTAACATAATCACTAGAGAAAACCTTAGAGTTAATAACCCAAATAAGTTGGATAGTGATAAAAATATTTATCCAATGTGACCTTATTTTTAAATACAATTTTTATGTTCTGGTGTTTCAACAGTGGTTTTATAATGCCCAGTGGTGTTACCAGTTATTCTGAGAGAGTTAATGAGATTATCAGGGGAAAACTAGAATTAATGTTAAAATTAGTTATTTATCATGTAAATTTTGATTAAAAGTTTTAAAAATGAAACCAATGACAGTGTCACAAATCAGAAAACTCAGGGATTAACCAGCTTTCCGTCCTATGGAGTTCTTTATGCCAGTGGTTTCTATCATCTAAAGTAAATCCAGTAGGAACCTCAGAAAGAAATTTTCTCTCATAAAGGAGACTCGCATTTTCTCAAAACATGTCTGTGTTAAGTACCAAGAAACATCTAATTTCATTCCTTTTTTTGGAGAGAAAAAAAATGTCAGTTTTCACCTCTCATTTTCTTTAACAGACTCAACCTGGTAAACAGTTTGGCCATATAAATTCAAAATTGGTACCTGAATATTGTTCCTGGGATAACCCTTTAAGGTAAGTTTTATATACCATTTGCATATGGTGCTTAATAATAGCAATGATAGCTCACATTCATAGAGGTGTCCTAGGTTTCTCTCCATGTATTACTCCATTTAATTCTCACTGCAATGGCAGAAAGTAGTTTCTATTTCCATTTTCAGGTGACAAACCAAACACAAATTCCTTAAGAAAACTTAAGCAATGTGCTTGTAGTCCTGTATCTAGGAAACCAAGGGGCCAAAATTTGAACCCAAGTAAAGTAATGGCAGAAGTTCAGTTCTTGGCTGCTCACTGTGCTGCCTGGCCTGGAACCTGCAGAGCAGTGTCAGACCCCTGCTTTTTATGTAAGACTCATGGCTGTACCCCCTGGGTCCTCCCAGCAAGGATTGTATCCCTAGATGCCTTCTGGCCTCTACCACCTCCCCACCACACACACACACACACACACACACACACACACGCACAATACCTGTGAAAAAAACACCCGCGGAGGTTAAGCATTTCTTATGGGAAGGATTTAGCTAATGGATCTTTGCTCTAACTCCTGAATTCCCTTGTGTTGTTCCTGGTGTCCCTCTAGGCGTGTGATGGGCTGGCAGTCTCGCAGGGCATTCTCGACCTTCAGAGATGTCCTGCATAGGTACCCGCTCATTCTCTCATCTAACTCTCCCTCCCCACAGTGTGGCAGCTTCCAGGCTCTCTCCCAGCCCCAACTTCCCTAGGGCCCAACATCACTGCAAAGAAAAAGCATAAAGTCCCAGACTCTCTCTGTTTCTTCCTTTGTCTTAACAGGAAATTTCACAGCCTTAGCTGTCCATTGACTGTCAGCTGCTCTGGTTCTACTCATTGACTGGCTCCTCTGAAGGTTTTTTCCTGTTAACAGAGGCAAAACACACTTAACACATTTCCTTCCCCTGAGCATTGATTTCTTTAAGAAAACCACAACTTGCTCTAGATAAGAAATTCATAGCCATAGTATTATAACATCATTTTGACCTTAGTTGTTAGGAACAAACCAGGCTACGTTATGCTAAGAGATCATTTGTACGCTGAGTGACAATGAATTATTTATCTCAAAATCACTTTATTTGTGTGGGGTGATGAACACACTTCATTTCATGCCTGTTATGTTTTGGGGGGCCTTGGAGACAGAAAGAAAAGTGTCCGCAGGGTTGTTACCTTCTGAGGCTGTGGAGGACCTGTCCCCGGCTCTCCCGGGCTTCTGGTGGTTTGCTGGTGATCTGTGGGCCCCGTCTCTGCTGCACCTTCGCATGGCCTTCTCCCTGTGTGTTTGTGTCCAGACCCCCTTCTTACAAGGACACAGGTCACAGTGGATTAGGGCTGCCCTAATGATCTTATCCAAACTTGATTATCCCCATAAAGGCCCTGTTTGCACATGAGGACACCTCCTGATGTTTTGGGGTGAGGACTTCCACATGTCTTTTGGAGAATGCCATTCAACCCATAACATGTCGTGGACCAAAAGCCTTTGGGAGCAGGGTGTATAGACAGCCAGAGGGCTCGAGCAGGACAGATGTGCCAGCGCCCCTCAGAGCAGAATCCCACCCCTGGGTTTAAATTGAGTCCTAATTCCCTATGATTTTTATATTGCTGGTGCCCTTTGAGTGCAACTTGCTCAGTACATGTGATTTGTTGCATTTTTCTTAGAAACAGAACTCTTAAAAGGCATGTCTGGATAGCTGCAGAAGGAACAAGCAGAATTGGTCACAGAGAAAAGGAAGGTTTTATTTCACAGAGCACAGAGGATGATCCTGATTTAGCAGGACTGGCAGTGTCTGTGAGCTCTAAAGCGGTGTACGGACTAAACCCAAAGATACCATTGAAAGGAGCGTAAAAGAATATCAGTTTAGAAACTACGTTAACAACGTGCCCAGCCCCACACCATGATGACATGCACCTTGGCCAACAGTGGAAGGTTTGTGTGATGCACAGTCGGCGGTCAGTGACCACATTACCGAGTCCACATCCTCCCTGAAGGGGTGAAGACTGCTTGTTCGACCACAGGACTTTATAGTGTTCCTTTCCAGCTCCTCTCTGTACTCGACCCTCTAGTCATTAGTCACTCTATTGGTCTTATGTATTTAGGAATCCCCTATTTAAACAGATTTAACCAGAACATCAGTGTCACAAATATATACTGGTTGCCTGTTATTAAGCAGAAACTATATGAGATGTTGGCAGAATAAGCATGAAGAAGGTTTGCCCCGTCCTTGAAGGGGGGTGTGTGCCGAGGAGCGCTGTCCTGGAGGGCTGACACCCGGGGGAGGCCATCCCCGTCCTCCCTGGATGCCTGGGCAAGGTGCCCGTTAAGCCCATGGAGTCCGGTCAGGCTTCGGAATCTTGCCCAGGCTGGCTTATCAGGTGTTTCCCCACCGGCAGCGAGATGGCAGCTGGGCCGGAAGGTTCTAGGGCAGGAAGACATGCCGGGGAGAGAAGGCCCTGCAGGGAGGAGAGCGGCGGGCAGGGCCCATGAGTCTCCTGGGGCAGGGGCCAGGGCTCGGGAAGAGAAGCTGCAGGAAGCGGGCACGACCTGTGGCCTAGGTGCGGTTACATCCATGTGGGGTCTACCTCAGGGGACTCAGAATCACACTTCACTGGGCACATGTGCGCTGGGCCTTGTTTTGTTAGCGTTCAATCAACCAGAAATGAAATAATTAAATACAAGGCTGATGTACAAACCTATCGATCGCAAGCAGCAGTGGCCGTGTTTTTCTTCCATAGACCGAGATTGACAGTCTCCGAGCCCAGCCAGTCTTGCAGAGCTGTTCCCTCACCTCTTAGCAGCCAGCAATTCCCGGCGGAGAGAGGGCGTGAGAGGAGGCCGGGGGCCTTGGCTGCTCCGCCGTCTGCGGGACGCCGTTCACCACGGCCCAGCAGTGACTGAACCGTGTTCTTAGGAAGCCACTGGGCATGTCAGCTGCTCTCGATCCCGATGCGGTGGCAGGATGACAGCTGGTCCCTTGTCCCTTTTCCTCACTTCTGTGAAAAGGGAGATCTGATAGAAAAAGGAAGAAACTTACTAGGGTAACAACATTATCAAGAGAAAGGCTTTTTTGTCTTATGGATACTATGCTCTGAAGAATTTAAGGCCAAAAAGCCTCTTCTGAACATTCACAGCATCAGTCTGACGTCATCCACCGAGGCCAGAGCCAGGACATTGGCTTGAAGCCCTGAATTCTTGAAGGTGCCCCCGGGCAGGGTGGATTCAAGTACCTGGGGTTGGGGTGGAGGGGGTGGAAAGGGCACAGAGAAACCGGGAGGAGGACCAGACAGAGGAGCCAGAGGGCAGCTTCAGGCCCCCGTCTGGGAAGCAGGAGGGGGTGTTTGTTTAACAGCCGATTCTCAGGGGTCCGAGGGCCAAGGTCAAATCCCTCACCTTCTTGTACAAGGAAGATACTAGTCCCGGCGGCAAAGAGTTATTTTAAGAATTAAATAAATGTGTTCACGTGAACGGGTTAGAACATGGCCTGGCCAGTGGCAACCACTCTGTGTCAGCCATTACTTTCTGAGTCAGTCTCTATCGAATCTGTGGGTATCGGGATGGGGAGCGTCTGGGCGACACGTGTATGGTGGATCAGCTGACAAACACTTCAGCCCCAACGGCCTAAGTGAAGGCTGCGCCATCCGTTTCCGGTTGGCGGCCTGCACCGTGGTGCTCTGGCTCTTCACAGCCAGGAGACCGTCACTACCCTGCGGGCTCTGCGTTCTTCTAGGGAAATAATAGCCACAGCCCCCCCCTTCCCAAACCAAATCATTTGTTTATTTCTTGAACCAGCTTCACTAAAGTTTTCAGTCATATTTTTATATAAAATCTGACGTTTCCTTTATTCAAAAGGCCATAAAGCAAATGCTCATAATATGTTAGTGAAAGGCAGGACTTAATGCCGTCCACCCAGGTAACCCATTACCTGCCCCAAAGGCAAGATTCTGGGCAGCTTGTGAGTTTTCTAAACTATATTAATATGCTTTGATCACTTTCACAGTAATTAAATCATTATCTAAATGTTTGTGTTCCCCCAAAATGTCATTGGAAAGAGAAGGAAATGATTGAGAGTGGATTATAAATGGAGAAGTGAAACTGAAAGGAAATGCCCGACTTCCCTTGGGACGCGCTCTCCTGCCAGCTAGGAACCTCCCTCCCAGGGCAGCTTTGGCTGCATCCCATACGTTTTCATCACTCGCCTCGAGGTAGCTTCATTGCCTGTTTGATCGTCTCTGATCCTTGGTTCTTTAGGAACATGTTGTATGGTCTCCACGTGTTTCTGCTTTTTCCAGTTTTCTTCCTAAAGTTGATGTCTAGTCTCATGCCGCTGTGGTCAGAAGAGATGCTGGATATGACGTCAGTCTTCTTGGATTCACTGAGGCTTGTTTTATGTCCTAAACTGTTACCTATCCCAGAGAATGTTCCAGGAACACTCGAAAAAAATGTGTCTTCTGCAGTTTTTGGGTGAAATGTCTATTAAGTCAATCTCATCTGATATGACACTTAAAGCCATTATTTCTTTGTTTTCTGTCTGAATGTCTATCCAGTGATGTGAGTGAGACATTAAACTCCCCTCTGTGACTGTATTACTGTCAGCCTCTCCCTTTATGTCCATTAATAATTGCTTTATCTTTTAGGTGCACAGACATTTACGATTGTTATGTCTTCACCTCGGATGGACCCCTTTATCATCCTGTTATGTCTGTCTTTGTCTTTTCATACATTTTTTGTTTTACAGTCTATTTTGTATAGGTATTGCTACCCCAGCTTTCTTTTGTGTCTATTTGCACGTAATATCTTTTTACCATCCCTTCACTGTCCATCTGCGTGTCTCTTGATTTGAAGTGAGTCTCTCGTGAGCAGCATGCAGATGAGTCACGTTTCTAGCCCCTTCGGCCTCCCCGTGTACTTTCGTGGGAGCATTTCGCCCACTCGCACGTGGAGTGGCAGTTGCTCGTGAGCGTGCACTTGCCACCACTTCCTTCTTCACAGCTGTGCCCTGCCCCAGTCTTCTCTTGACGCCCTCTGTGGTTTGCTGGTTTTCTTTAGCATCTTGTTTAGGCTCCTTTCTCTCTGTTCTCTGTGGATCTCTCGTAGGTTACCCTGAGGCTTATGTGTGTCGTTCTTTACCTGTAGCTGACAGGTAGCTGATTCTTAGCCGACAGACGTTTAAATCTGAGTGTATTCTGCGGGACATTTTTGTTCCCCTCCATGCTTCGGGTCATGGGTGCTGTGTTCTAGGTCTGTGTTGTGTATCTCTAGCTAACGATTGTAGTTTGAGTTGAGTTTGATACCTTTTTAACCCTCACCCGAGGATACTTTTTCCATCGCTTCTTTTCAGAGAGAGTGGAAGAGAGAGAGAGAAACATCGATGTGAGAGACACATATAGGTTGGTTGCCTCCTGCACATGCTGGGGCCGGGGTGGGAACTGAGCCATCAACCGAGGCACCTGCCCTTGGCTGGAACTGAACCCAAGACCCTTCAGTCCGAGGGCCCAGCCAAACTGGCTAGGGCGAGTTTGATACTTTGAAAATACACTTTGTAGCGTCTTTTTAACTATTAGATTGCCATGTTTATTGAATATTTGGCTCTACCTGTGAGGTTTTTCTCTTTCTCATATTTTCTTATTTCTAGTTATGGCCTTTCCTTGTCTACTTAAAGAGGACGCTTTAATGTTGACTGTCAAGCTGGTTTAATGGTAATGAGGTCCTTTAGTTTATGCTTGTTAGGGAAATGTTTGTGCTTTAAAAGATACCATTCAGAACCAAAAGACAAGCCTCAGACTTGGAGGGAATATTTGCGAATTACATAAAGTACTTGTTTCCAGCATATATGCTCCTATAACTCAACAATAAGGTAAATAACCCCGTTTTTAAAATGCCAAAGATGAGAGAAAACCAGGAATAGACATTTTACCAAGGAAAACATGAAAGAAAGGGTGCTCAACATCATTAGTCAAGAGGGAAATAAAAATTAAAACCATAACAAGATGCCACCACACCCACAGGAATGGCCACCATCAGAGACACAGACACCACAAGGGCGAGGGAACAGAGCAACTGGAACTCTCGGGTGTGGCTGCTGGGACACAATGGCAGCCAATTTAGAGAGCAGTTTGGTAGTTACTTTAAAAATTAAACATCGCGCCGGCCAGGTGGCTCAGATGGTGCATCAAAAGGCTTCAGGTTCCATTCCTGGTCAGGATGCATACCTAGGTCTCGGGTTCGATCCCTGGTCAGGGCACAAATGGGAGGCAACCCATTAATGTTTCTCTCTCGCATTGATGTTTCTCTCTCTCCCTTCCTCTCTCTCTAAAAACCAATAAATATATCCTTGGATGAGGATTTTTTAAAGTTTTTAAAAAAATCATAAATTTACCATATGCCCTGGCACTGGCACTGGTAGGAATCTAACCAAGAGAAATGAAAGCGTCCACCCCTACAGGACTCACACGCAAACGTGCACGGAAGCGTTGTTCACGATCACCCGCAACGGGAAACAGTCCAGTGCCCATCGGCTGGCGAGTGATCGGGCGGCGTGTCCACACGGCGGACACCACTCGGCAGTCAACGGGAAAAGCCAGCACATGATATGTGAAAGAAGCCACACGCAACTAAGCCGTCGCTCCGTTTCTGATCGACGGCCAGAAAAAGCAGACTTTCAGAGACCGAGAACAGGGCTTATCTGGGAAATCGGGACGGGGCAGTGAAAGCGTTCAAAAGCTTGTTTGTGCTGGCGAGTTGCGAAACTCTGTAAATTCACTAAAGATCCTTGAATTGTATGCTTACGGTGGGTGAATTTTATAGCAGTTAAATTATTCCCCAGTAAAGCAGTTTAATGAAGACTTAAAAATACGTGAGGATGGTCATGGACAACAGCGTGGCGACTGGGCTGGGCTAGAGGTGGAAGAGGGCCTAGAGGGGATAGCTATTGATGGAAAAATAAAGTTAAATTAAAAATAAATTTTAAAAATTAATCCAAAAACTCCATGAGGAATGGCAAGGTCAGGCCTTGGTCAAGCCTGCTTCTGTATATTTAGACAAAGACGGCTCTGCGCAGGGACTGTCTCTCGTTCTCACCATGGGCCTGATTGCCCTGCTTTCCGCAGCGGGAGCCATGGGAAATTCAAGCGCTTCATTCCCTAGAGGACTTTTGACATTCCTGTTGTCCTCAGAGGAGAAACTTCTAAATAACAGATGCATGAATTTTATTAATGAGGGAAACTGTACATGTTTTTAAAAATTTTTTTCAAGACAGATTGCCCATAGTTCTGTTTATTTGCCCATAATCTCTTCCCAACAAGTAA